ACTGATACAAAGCACATTTAAGCAAAAAAAAGAGACATTTCAAACATCAGATAAAGTTGTCTATGGAGCAACTTGATTCAGCCCAATGTGTTCCGCGTGGAATTAATACACAAAAATAAGTATTCTATGTGGTCTTCCAGGCTGCTATACATCTATGCCAAATTATGTATATAATATCTATAGGTGGAGTCGTGGTCAAGAGTTGTTTTTAAAAAACATATAAAAAAAAAAAACCATCGAGATCCATTCAGCCGTTTAATCGGTAAACTCTAGCAAAATATCCATCCATCTAAACTTTCGCATTCATAATATTAGTAAGAACTAATATATGTCGAGAAACTAATAGCTAACCATAGTTTTGTGACACCAATTTATACTATTTAGGATTTTGAAACAATTCTATAAATTAAATAATTTGTAGAATCCGTTTATTCTTTGAAATTACTATTGAAATTATAGGAAACAAACGACGTACAGAGTGCGCCTCATAAAAAACTAATTTACCATGAAATCCTAACTTCAACGATAAGCGTATAATGAAGCGTTATGTAAGAACTATTTTGTAAATAGAAAATAATGTTACCAATAATTCTCATAATGCGAGCACACTATGAATTATGCATCTCTCAAAGATTTCTAATCACTACCACTCGTAATAGAGATTTGATCGCTTCTAAGAAAATAATCGATTTTCACTTTGATTTATTTCTTACGACTACGGGTATAAAACCATAACTTAGTTTACATTACTATAAAGTTAAAAAACCCATCTTTATGTTTTCACAAGAGTTATTTTTCTTCTAGTAAAGTAGTTGCTGATAACTAATATGGTCGATTACTAATTGACCGGTTGCTAATATTAAAAATTAACATTTATTTAGCGTATAATCAGTATGTAAATAACATTCTTTCCATGAGTAAGCGTATCATATAGCATTTTAAAACGTACGGAATTTTCGAGAAACAGAAAACCGACGCAGCTGTACGATTAGGCCAGCGCGTTTCCTACTCACTACAGCACTATGGGATTGGCTTGTCTTTTTAAAGATACCCCCCCCCCTCCCTCTAATAGATTAAAAAATATACAGATGAATTGAGTACCTCCGTCTTTTGGGAAGTCGGTCAAAAATCGCAGCGGTTCTCGGAAAACTTTTTCTATATTCATAAATTTACAATCCTATCATTACCCATGCTTAAAATGATATAACTCTCTTTTGTAACAGACAAGTTGTATTTCTTTGGTAAAGTTAAAAAAAAGTTAACGAATCGATGAAACTCGTTCATACGAAAAGAAACTTATCAAGTAGATAATTAATTACGTCGGGGACGAGTTGGAGGCCAACAAAAAACACGCGCCCTGTATAATGCCATTCAAACTTTATCGTAGCTCGGAATATTGAACTAGACTGTAAACACAATATTAAGTATCGGGGACTTAAAGGTTTCCGGGGGCGTTACACGGAAGTTTAGTACTCTACGCTCGTTTTACGCAATAAGCCCATACACAAACCGAAGATATGTCCTATTAAACACGAGCCGTCTTTTTATACAATAGTTTGAATCTTTTTATACAATAACATTGACTGGTATTACTTTTACAGTGTTTACAAGTTGACGTAATTCGTTTACATCTCCTTTTTAGGGCAACATGTCATTGCAAATTTATTTAATAAAACAAAATCTTCAACGTGATGTTCATAAACTACCGAATTAAATCCGGTTTTTACTAAAATACACGTTAACAAAATGTCATGATTAAAATAAGTTAAGGTTTGATTTCGCTGAAAGGTGACGATAATTGTTCTAGAAACATAAATATGTAATAAAAATTACGTTAATGTAAATGTTATCAATATAAATTTGATCTTTAAGATTATTTTGTGTTGAAATTCCTATTCAAAATTATGCAAAATGTTTTTATGTTTAAGACATTGTAAAATCTCAAGGATTTTGTTGAAGTCTTAGTAATGCTCTATGGCATCATAATCTAATACATCAGTCAATGGACTAAACTAAATATTTATAATTATTTAAAGTGTCGATTTAACGAAGATATGACCTATCTTAATTTGTCCACAATAGTTTCCGTTTTAAGCTTTGTGCCAAATTTAGCAATGTGCAAACATTAGATCAATTTATATTACTTTTAAGCTTATTTAACTTCAAATTGGTAACACAATATCACTTCAGTATATTAACGAATAGAAAATTACGGTACATTTTTTGCTGAAAAATATTTCAAAAGCAATAAAAAAATAAAACAATACTCTACCACTCACCGGACTTCCTTTTCTCATTAACAAGCACCAATGATTTGGTCCTCTTGACCCTCAGGGAGCGCCGCCTGATCGACCTCATCAGGGCCTCCGGCATGCGGGAGAAACGGGGGGAGTCCACCCGCTTCTCCGGCATAAAGAAATTTTTAACAGCCAACATTGTTACAGTCCTTTCCCAATTAGAACATGGTCCTCACACTCAGTACATGCAATTCCCACATCCACTAGTGACGTTTTCTAAAGTAATAAAAAACAAGTTTGCTGATAACACTCGGAAACAAAAGAGTAAATGTCGCACCTGTGGAAACTACACTGAATGTTTAAAATCAACAACACAAGGTCACGCGAATCTATAAAATTCGCGACATTGTGCACTTTAGCGTCCAAATCCCCACCCGACGAAAACCAGATCTATTGTTTCCGATACATCACTATTCCGATCACGCGATCGCTATCCTGTCACCTCAAGGAACTGATCAATTTCCACTTGCCGATACGGTCCGATGCAAGTTCGGTTGCTGCACGCGCACGCAACACGTCGACACGCGGCCGTAGCTGGCGATGGACTGGCGTAGATATCGCGTGCGACGCAGTGACTCCACCTGGCGCAACGCTGCGATACTAAGCCTGTTATCAGAGTTTACTGATGCCGAGCATATCACCGCAAGGTTTTGATTTACCGCTTTATTGACGCTAACGAGGTTAGTAAATAATTGACCTATTATTTGCCGCAATGCAATTAAAAGAAGAATTGTTCTACAATGAAGTAAATCACGATAGCATACTTTATGCTATTTTATTCTTTTACGTCATAAACAAATCAAAAAGGTTTAAAAACACACAAGAAGAACTAAATTAATTTCTCAATTTCGAGATATGACAAAATAACTTTCCATCTTTTTTTTCATTTGCACAATTTTTAACAGTAACAGAAATCAAATGTAGGTTTTTTCACGGTTAAAGTTACCGCGTTTGTAATGTACTGAAGATTCACTTCATTGGATTTAGAGCGTGTCACTGCTTGTTAATAAATTAATTTATGTGTTCAGTGTTCAGTGGTTGCTGCGCATAGCTTAATCACCTAACAAATTGCTGTAATTGCTTCGTTCTACTGAATTGAATCTGTTCAGTTCTACAATGTTAATTAGGTGCGTGAAATGTTGATGATATTACAGTCCTCGTATTAATGCAGGTTTACTTCAATGACGTTGATAAAGCGAATTAAATTTTTTTAAGTAATAAGCCTATTTCATATCTTCAATTCATTAATTCACAAAATAACAATATTTACAAAAGGTTTAGTAATTTTATAATAATTCACAAAATAATGCACATCAAATATATCTATACCTACTATTATAATAAAGCGTAAACACACACTTCTTTGTTGCCTAAGATGTCGGCAATTACGGCATATTTTTGAATAATTCCTTTTTAAATAAAAAAACACTTACGTCACGCTTTAGGCTATATGTTTTCACGCCATTAAACTTAGAAAATATTTTGAATAAAAACCCTAATGTGGGAAAGAGACAATAAGTTGTTGCCAACATCAAGGAAGCAAGGTCGCCATGGTTTGACATCATGTCATATCATTTTGACATTTGCAATTAATATTTTCTATTAAATTATCGAATCTACAATAAAATTGCAAGTCATGAGCATTTCTTTACATAAGAATTGCAAAACTTCTACCGTGTGATATTTGACGCTTTCTCCATGTTTTAGTATTTAGCAATAACAAGTATCTATTACATAACAGTGTTTACGACTGGAAACCTAAAACTATAAAGTCTAGAACAAGTTAAGCAAGCATAAGTCTTCAAATAAAAGCATATTCTGGAAACTCGAGTACCGGAGACTTTTAAGTGTAAAATAACTATTGTATATTTTTATTATTCGTTGAATTATACAGAGATAAAGCCTCAAGCGCTGCAGCGCTACGTTTTACAACAATAACAAGAGTCGTGCAAATTCTTATCGTAGATCACAACGGCAAGCACGATATTGCGACTCGCACACCGCCCAATCAACTGAGACCTGTCTCTCAGTCATCGTACAACCTTAAACAGGACTTCTCTAACACAATCAGTACCATCTTTACGGGTCAGGATAAACTAAACAAGGTAAACTGCTTAGCATTTCCGTGTATTTATGTATCAATTTAAATCCAGTCTGCTCAGATATTATTCAACATATACAATAATTTTTAAAAGAACTTGCGAAAGGAACAACCTTTGTAAATGAAGTTTGTAATGAAAATTGTAGATTTTAAAAATATGCTGCAACATGGAATGTGAACAATAAACAATACATCGTTGAAGCCAACACTTATTAGTGAATGTTTATAATTAAGAGCCCGCGCACAACTTTGACTAAACAATCGATTTGATTCCTATGAGCTTATATGGAGGTGAACACATTACTCGATTTTTAGTTATACTAAACAGTTGAATTGGCTGCGAAACAACCGACAATCGCACAACAGTGTGCGATTTTTAGGTCAAAGGTGTGCCTCGCTCTGATAGCATTAAAGATTTCTACTATAAATTAATAATTTCTTCCACACTTACAGGTACTTCTTTATCCGGTAAAGACAGTCCTACACAATTATGGAGTAATTCTCCCCGGCTATTTTGGGTCTGTCGCCGTCACCCACGCCCATTCCCAGGGGTGGGCGAACGACCGGTTGTCTAAGCACTATCCACAAAGCATTCAAACATCAACGATATTTTATTCTACATTTGTTATTCTTGAAATACAAGATTTGGATTATTTAGTCTTTACATACATGTTCTAGGGTAAGGATTTTTGCTTTTTAGTCATTAAATTAATTTAATCAAGGCATTTAAACACATGTAACATAAACGGGTCTCTAAATAATAAAGCTATTGGAAGAACAAAAGTTTGATAGCAACAATTCTACAAGACAATTCAATACATATGCTAAGTTAGAGACCACCCAAACGATTCACTTATGCACAGTAACGATACCTGTACAAATAGATACAATCCGAGCGGAAACACTACGCAGCAACTTTCTCCTACGCAAGTCTAATAAATCAAAACAAATCACCAGGCGCCGTACCTGTTGCCTACGCTGATGTCCACCAACGCAATAACAAATTTATTACCTTACGATGATACGAGGCAAAATATAAGGGACCATGACAAATAATTGTAATGATATTGGGCCTAAAATAATGCCTTGTGGCACACCTTGAGAAAATACCATCTAGATAACCATAGAAAGTATAGGAATTATAGAAGTAGAATATCTTTGTTGTTCTTTTTTCAGAGAATTGAAAAGTAGGCGAAGTATAATGGCAAATATGATTAAAATAAGTTTAAAACACGTCTTTCGGCAATGGAAACCTACGATTATAAAAACCATTGTGTTATAGAAGTACGTCGTAAAGTGAACGATGAAATTGTGCTAACACTAAAAGCAGTTAAACATTCATCAAACTCGAATAAAAATGTGGTTAGATGATTTCCAACAAAGCGATAGAAGATTTTATGAGCGCGCTAGATTATGAATGACCGTAAAATGTTTTACGACAACTCTAAGAGTTTATAAAATTCTGCTTTGAATGTTGCTTTTAAATATTTTCACAAGTGTTAACGATTTAAGAATGCATTGTTAGGTGATAAATATTTATTACCATTGTTATTATTTCCTGTTTGATTCGAATCACACTAATTAAGAAATACAACCATAAATCTGGTTCCAATTCAGCTGTATCTAGTTGCAGTTTCATTTTAAATTCTTGTTAAATAGTAGTTTATAAGTGTGGTGGGGTACACCGACAGAGGTAGGCCTAGAAAACAATAGATAGAGTATGTGAAAGGTAAAATGATCAAGAAGGTTGGGACTATTGGGATGACAGAAGAAAGATTAACCTGGACAGAGTAGGATGAGGCCGGTGGAATGTGATGATGTCAAAGGTTCTTTATGTATTTTCTGGCATGAAATTACACGTTATAAGTGTCATAGCAAAACATAAAGTTAATGCAAATCTTATAAAAACTTTTATTTAAAAGTATATATCAGTCGATGATAGTATAGCGAGTTAAAGAATAAACAAATTGCTCACTTCTGTATAGAATGACATCATACTCTTGGTATACGATAATACATATGCAAGTTAATCACTTGCATCATTGCAGTGAGCAAATCATGTACATATGAGTAATAGCCATTTTAAAAACAACTACAATCTCAAAGTGTACTTTTATGTGTCAGGACCAAGAAACAAAAGCCCGAAATGTTAAAAATGAGGTTTTAAGTCTCGTCAGGAAATATTTAAAAGAAATATTAACCATTAATAAATCAGAATATCTTGATTGTTACTTAAGCAATCTTTACAGTAATTCTTTGTGGTTAAATCTACCCTAAGAGAGACAGCTACCATGACTGTGGCAACACTAAGAGTCATTTGTAGTTTTGCTTACAATAAGGTCTCTTTTGTTCAAGAAGAAGTATGCTAGATACTAAAGCATAGTACATTTTATTTATAAACATCGTGAACTGACTTGGAAATTACAATAATATCCAGGACTTTCAATTAGATCTCATTAATAATGCGTATTGTATGCAAGTGAAGTCATGCATTATGCATTGTTTTCTGCCTCGAAATAGGGCTGTGACCTGTTTGTGACCTATTTCGTAGCTACAGCAGAAATAACTTACGAGGCCTATTTCGGGAATGAATGCGACATTCGGAATGAGAGTTCTACTTTTAGATGCTCTTGTTGTGGCAACTAAAATCGTACTACTATCTTTGGAAATAGCTCTCATCTTAAAAGAAACTATTTCATTGATCAACATTTTCTCGGGACAAGTTACTATTTTTTTAAAGATAAGATTCTGATAATATTCATAAGTCTTCTTGTCCACAGTAATTATAAATCATAAGAATTTTCTTGCTTATTGTCATGCAAAAATAAATAAAAGACAAACCGTATCATTTATCAGTTCATTGTTACAATTGTTGACTTTATAGAAATTTGTCGTTAAACGCAATAGGACTTCCACAAGGGAACACTTCTGGCCCAAGTTGTTAATAGATCATAAGCAACGTACCGTATGAGGCAATTCGGTTACCATTGCAAGTTGCACAATTGAACGGGATCTTCGAAGCCAATAAATATGTCAGCACAATGCCTGACACGACAGAAGGGCCCGATTTCTTTACGAGCCAAAACCGATCGCGATTTACGATCACCGCCTTGCGTTAGACACGAGTGAGCGCTCTCAATCGATTACGTCGATTATTTATTGATGCGATGCTCGGAATCGATCGGGCGTGTTGTCGATCTTTAATTTGATTAAAGTTATTACGGTGGTATTTCTCACGAGAAGATCTATGTGGTTGATTTAAAAAGACGAAGTATTATTCATTTATTTCTTCTGAATCTTCTTTATGGAGTTAAGGCTCGAGATGAAAGTGTCATTGTGATTTCTACTGTTCAATTACATAAGTGAATTGAACTGCGTATTGTATTCTCAACATCGCAAAAACTTTATATAACTTAATAAAGAGATATTTAGCGACGTCGCGTAGAACGGAAACG